CCTCCGCTTATACATAACCACTCAGCTTCTTCCTTCTTTGTATGCTTTCAGCTCCATTTCTGTTCCCATCATCTTAGTCCCCTGTGTCTCTATTGCTTCATGCACACAACTTACTTTAACCTAAAAAGTGGCTCTTCAAGACAGCACCCATCATTACCTCTTTCCATCCCCAACATTCTTCACAAATTCCTACAACATACAGTCCATTTGTGTGGGGTTTTTGTTTTGTTTTTGTTTTAACATTGAGAGAGATACATTGATTTGTTGCCTCCCTACCTGAGCCAAAGAACCTGCAACCAAAGTATGTGCCCTTGACTGGGAATCAAACTGCAACCCTTTGGTCCACAGACCAATCCTCCAAACACTGAGAAAAACAGGCCAGGGCCATGCAGTCCATTTGTAAAGCATCACCTAATAGGTATTCCTAAGCACTACTGTCAGCGGTATTCCACAGCTGAACATTTTCTTAACTCCAGGTTACATCTAAAGGAAGTCCTACCTGTTTTATATAATTATCAGACCTTCTAGCCAATTCCAACTATTCCTTAGAGAATAAACCCCAATTCCCCAGACTGCCCCACTCCTTCTCCCTAAACATATCTCCTACATCACCTCTTTGCTTTTGTTCACTGTGTCCTCTCTGCTACGATGCTCTCTCTACTCTGTTGTCTATCCAAACTTTTCAAGATATTGCTGGCTGTTGTTTCATCATCCATTATATTATCTTTTTTGCATTATGTTATAATGATATTTTCCTTTATTGTTGACACTATTACAGATGTCCCCATTACCCCCTCACTTTTGCCCACCTCTACCCAGCCCCCACCCCACCCCTCTGGCCATCACCACACTGTTGTCTGTGTCCATGGGCTGAGCATACATGTTCTTTGGCTAATCCCTTCACCTTCTTTCATCCAGTCTTCCCCATCCCCCGCTCCTCTGACCTCTGTCAGTCTGTTCCATGTATCCATGCCTCTGGTTCTATTTTTGGATCTAATGACCATGCATCATACTCTTTACCCTGCAGCCCTTATATTTCATATATGCTGCACTTTGCCACCTTATCTTCATAGCCATCTTAAAGTGCTGTATGCACTTTTGTAGTAGAAAAAAAGAGATATTTACTTATTCCCAAAGTGAAGAATGGTAATAGATCTGCTCAATTAAGGATTCAAGATTTATGGCAAACAGTAGTATTCTTATCTAAATTTTCCTGCTAGTCTCTATAGGCTATAAAGAATTAAAACAAAAGTCTTTATAATGTTGGTGGATAAAATCAACATGTTTTTAAAAGATTATTGTATGTTGTTCATGTTGTAATTACACTTATGGAAATTGACTTGTTCAACAGATTGCTACTATCCAAATCCATATAATTTTATATGGCGCTATAAATGAAGAGCTCATTAATTCATATATCAAAGTTTTATGGAGCATCTACCAAGTGGTGCTGGGGATGTGTTCACAGACTCTTTGGGGATTTAAAAAAAAACAGAAATAAGTAATTATAATAAGCAATACATTGAATTATGGGCAATGTCTGAGGAGCCCATAAACAAAAACTTAACTATGGGCTCATTTGCAAAGGCAGTGATTTCCCTGAACTACATGAAACCAGATTTAGTCTTTGGAAGTTACGAAAAGACACTTTCTCCTATATGACCCTAAAAGACTGGTCATCACTATGCAAAAGTTTGTCCGAACTGAATTAACATAACAAGTGGGAAGAGGAAGTATATGGACCTGCATTTGTACCCCAGATCTACCACTTTCCAAATGTGTGACTTTAGGTCACTAAACATCTCTGAATCTGTTTGTAGAAGAGCAACCTCCTTGTAGAATGTCTGTGAGTGTCATGAAAAAATGCATGTAAATTGCATGGCTTGTACCTAGATGTAAACGGTGTCTATAATTACTCTGCTGGTCTAAGACCTAGGCCACTGGGTCACTATGTTCACATTATTACATTTAACTTTTCCAGGCCTTTATTTTTCTCCTTCCTTTCCCACTCTGACTACAAAAAGAGTCAAGATTCTGCCAAGAATGTATTGGTTATTACAGATTCTGAGCTCCTTTGGTTACATTTTCTATCATATAAGATTTGTTGGCTACTTAGAAAGTGCTGATGAGTCTGAAGTAAGCCTTAGCTGGTTTTGCTTCGATACTAG